TGTTATGAATCCCACCTGCTCAGAGTGTACGATCTTCATTATCTCATTTAGTCTCACAACAACCCTGTGTGGTAGATACAATCATTTCCCCCATTTTACAGATGAGAAAACTGAGACCAAGAGAGGTTACATACCTTACCTAGGGTTGAACAGCTAGGATGTATCTGAGGCAAGAGTCAAACTCCAGTCCATTGTTCTATCAATGTGCTGTCTCTCACAAATGAAATGAAATCATTATAATGGAGGTTGGAGGAAGGACTGAATAATGAAACTAAATGAAAAAGCATTTATGAAGTGCTTACTATGTGCCTTCCAAAAGGGTTCCATTAGCTCATAGCTAGGGTCCCAGTCTTTCCACAACTCCTCTAACATTGACTACTCCTATCTTTTACCATTTTTGCCAGTTTACTGGTAAAACCTCAGCATTGGTTTTTTTCCTTAATCTTTTGACTCTTTATCTATTGAAGAATAGCTTTTGGTATTATATTTCTATTAGTGTCTATATATCTTAGATATAAAATTATCCCTATTTAAGAAATTTGATACAAATATTTCTTTCCAGTCAATCATTTCCCTTCCTATATTAGTTGCATTAATTTTGTTTGTGTAAAAGTTTTTCAATTTCATATAAGCAAAATTATCTACTTTACCTTTGTAATTATTGCCTCTATTTTTTGTTTGGTTGCGAATTCATCTCCTACCCAGACCTGTGAATGAAATAGGATCTATTTCTCCTCTAATTTTTTCGTGAGCTGTTCTTTCATATTCAGATCATCTATCTGTCCTGGATTTATTGTGGAATATAGTATCAGATCTTGGTCTAAGCCTAATTTCTACCAAACTGTTTTCTAATTTTCCCTGCAGTTCATAGTAAGTAGGAAATTATTTTTCCTAAGTAATTTGTGTTTTCAGGTTTATTGAACACAGGGTTATTGAGTTTCATTTTTTTCTGATTCTCTTTCATCTAGGCTGCTCCATAGATCTACTTTTCTATTTTTTTTTATCAGTGCCAACTGGTTTGAATGCTTACTGCTTTATAATGTAGTTTGAGGTCTACTAGGTGCTAAGAGCCAGAGTACAAAGATAGAAAAGTCTTTGCCTTCAAAGCGATTAAAGGTACAAACAGTTTTTATTTCTTGTCATATAATTCTATACTGCTTTCAAGGGAAATCTTTATAATCCTTTTCTTAGAAATTTTATTGATATCTTTCAGTTTTAGAGCACCTTTATTTCCCAATATATTCCTCCACTCTCCTCCTCCTAAAGAACCATTCTTCTTAATAAAGAATAAAAAAAGAGGGGAAAAAATTTGGCAAACTGACATGTGATCCAAGTCCATTGTCCCCCAACTCAGAAGAAAGAAGAAGAAGAAGAAGAAGAAGAAGAAGAAGAAGAAGAAGGAGAAGAAGAAGAAGAAGAAGGAGAAGAAGAAGAAGAAGAAGAAGAAGAAGAAGAAGAAGAAGAAGGAGAAGAAGAAGAAGTAGGAGAAGAAGAAGAAGGAGAAGAAGGAGAAGGAGAAGGAGAAGAAGAAGAAGAAGAAGAAGGAGAAGAAGAAGGAGAAGAAGAAGAAGAAGAAGAAGAAGAAGAAGAAGAAGGAGAAGGAGAAGAAGGAAAAGAAGAAGAAGAAGGAGAAGAAGAAGAAGAAGAAGGAGAAGGAGAAGAAGTTTCTACCCCTCTTCAAATGCCTCCAGCCCTTTGTCTTCTCTCTCTCATTAACTGCCCCTTTTCTGTCCCTTGGAGTGAATGGGCTCTGACAGACACAAGATCTGAGTTAGAATCCCAGCTGTTCTATCTACCCTCTATGCGACCTTGGGTTAGAACTAGATGATTTTTGTATGTTATTTTCCTTTATCATATAGTTCATCTGGTTCTGCTTTTCCTTGCAGGGCAGGAGTTCATATAAGTCTTCCAAAGTTTTTCTGAATTCTTCCAAATTCAAGACAATTCTTTCTGGGCTTTTTTGTTATCTGTAAAGTAAGGGGATTAGACCAGATCTCTCTAAGGTCCCTTACAATTCTAACTGTAGGAACCTAGGATTGCTACACTCCCATTCCCTCCCCTTATAGTCTTTGGCTGTAACCACACCCTCAGCACAGCACAGGCAAAAATCTGGTAGAACCCTCTGAGGAGCTCCCTGAAGCTGTGAGGGTCTGTCAATCAGCTAAAAGCAGAACAGTGAATAATAGTCCGGGGAAGGAGGACCACCTGCCCCATGGCTTTGCTTGGTGCTGCCTGGTATGATGGCTATTTACATAAAATTTCCTTATATGTGCATGTAGGGGGCTGGCCTGCATAGTTTGTGAGGTCCTTTCCCTTGAGATATGAAAACAGCCTCTAAAAGCTCAAGATATCAGTACACGCGATAGCTTTGTAATTGAATTCTGAGTGCCTTGGTGGAATCTGTGAGAAGAAAACAATCCATTATCTATGTCCTAGGACTGTATTGAGGAAAGCTATGTATGCTTTGGAAGCATGCAGCCAGGTGAGGCACTGGATAGAATGTGGGAGTTGAAGACAGGAAGACCTGAATTCAAATCCTGCCTTTTACTGGCTTTTACTTATGTCCTGAGCAAGTCACAACTGCTGTCTTCCTCAGTTTCCTCAACTGTAAAATGGGAATAATAACATCTACTTTACTTAACTTTTCTGCACCTCTATTTCTTCATCCACAAAATGGGGATAATGATAGTTCCTACTCTACTGGGCTGTTGTGAGGGTCAAATGAGATAACATTCACAAAACTTTAACATACTGTCTAAATGCTAGCTGACGTTATTCTAATTTAAAATGTAAGCTAATCCCATACATTCAATTCTCTCCAGAGTCCACCCAACAAACCAGAGGCCTCCCTCTGTTTCTTTTTATTATCTTGGCGGGGAGGGTGGAAGAACACTGCAGCTCTCTGGCTGGCTCCTCTAGCCATGCAGGTTCCTAAGGCTTGTCTTTTCACTTTTATTTTCCATTGAAAGCCATCACTGGCAACCTCAGTCGTTCCCTCCCCCCACCCCCATCCTACCCCTGCCCAAGAATGGGGGACTTCTAGGAAAGCAGACTTACAGGCAGGGAAGGGGTAGTGGCAAGGACACTGGAGCTGGAGTCTAGAGACCTGGGTTTGAATTCTGCCTGGGCTGCTTCCATAATAATAATCACAATCGGCAAGTATTTGTTAAACACCTACTGTGTGCCACTGACATGGACCTGTACTGTGAACCCCGGCCAGTCACTAAATCTCTTATTGCTTCAGGCAACTCTTTACAACAGGATTTCTTAGACTTTTTTGTGTGCCATGGCCCCCAGGCTGTGCCAGTGAATGTTTAACAACCAACTCTCCAAACAATACATTTTCAAGTTAATATTTTCTCCATCACTTTCTTAAGTCAACAATCAACAAAATAATAAAGCAAACCCTAATTTGTAGGGTTTGTTGATTTCCAAGCTGTAATGCTCACTCAGGAAAAAAAAATAGTATATATATATATGACATATGTATATACATATTTCAACATTCACTATTATAAGATTTTTAGTTCCAAATATTTTTTCTCCCTCCCTCCTGCCCCTTCCTCCTTCCCAAGATGGTAAGCAATCTGATATAGACTGTACACATACAATCATATTTAAACACATTTCCACATTAGTCACGTTGTGGAAGAAGAATCAGAACAAAAGGGAAAAACCGCAAGAAAGAAAAAAAAAAAGAGAAAATAGTCTGCTTCCATCTGCATTCAGACTCCGTAGTTCTTTCTCTGGATGTGGCTAGCATTTTTCATAATGTCACTCAGAAAATTTGACAATCTGCTCTCACAAGCTTGTCTGAGCAGGCTCCACCCCTTCGACAGTCTGGTGAAGCCTATGTACTTCTAAGAAGAAACACATTTTTAAATGGATAAAATAAAATACAAAGGATCATAAAAGAAACCAATTATATTGAAGTACAGTTATCAAAATAATTTCTAAAAGTTCACACACCCCAGCTTAAGAACTCCAACTCTGAAACTGTACATTGTAGAGAGGATGGCCAATTGCAATGGTAGAGGGAGTTTCCCCACCTAGGAATTCCTGTGATTCTCAAAGTATGCTCCAGAGGTCCCCAGGACCCTTTCAGGGGGTACTGGAAGTGAAAGGTATTTTCACAATGGTACCAAGATATGTAAATATCCATAAATAGAACCTACAGAAACAAAAGCTCTTTGGGGCCTCGATTTTGTAAGAGTTGTCAAGGAGTCCGGAGACCAAAAAGTTCCAGACCCATCGCCGTAGATCGAGGGATCCAGCCCAGTCCCTGCAGTGTTTCTGGAACTACGCGGACAAAGACAAAAACCACTACAGTCCCTTGTAAGCTCCCTCCCCAGGAGCTCCCTAATTCTATTAGGGAAACAAAATGAACCTAAGTAGATGATTGGATACGAAATAGATACAGAGACATCTTTGAGAAGGAGACAGCTCGGAGCTGAAGGGAACGGGAAAGATTTCATGTATAAGCTTGGTTTGATCCGAGCCCTGAAAGAAACCAAGGATTCTAAGAGACAGAGAGAGTTCATTCCAGTCACGGGGATGGTCAGTGCAAAGGCTTGGAGGCGAGAGATGGCGCGTCTTGGCAGAAAGACAGCTATAATAGCACCTATTTATATAGCGCTTGACATTTGAAATCCACAACCACCCTCTAAGAGTCGACCCAAGTGACCTTGGAGAAGTCATGTCTCCTCTCGAGGCCTCAGTTTCTTCCTCTGTAAAATGAAGGAGCTGGACGAGTTGTAAGTCTATACCAACATGAGTTGCTCAGCTTTGGGGACTTTTGGGAGACTTCCCTCTCTGCTGCTTTCCCCTCTCCCTCAAGGCTCCTTAGACCCGCTTTCTCTCCAGCTCCCCGGGAGGGCCCAGAAGCTCGGAGCACACCTGGAGCATATATTATGTTAATGAGCTCCTCGCCCCACCCCCACCGGCCCAGCAGTTTGGCAGGGGCCGGGGGCGGGGCCTGGCTGGGGCGGTGCGGGGCATGCTAATTAGGAGCGCCCCTCTGCGCGGGCCGGACGCCGGAGGCAGCGGGCGGTGGCGGGCGGGGCGGACTGGCCGCAGCTACAGCTGCGATGGCTGGGGCGCTAGCGGGGTTGGCCGGGGGTTTCCCCGGGCCCCGTGCGGAGCCGGCGCCGGACTCGGACTCGGACACGGACTCAGAGGGGCCGGGCCCTCGGCGGGGGGCCGCCTCGCTGCTCCGCTCGCCGCAGGTTATCCACAGCGGCCACTTCATGGTGTCGTCGCCACACAGAGACGCGGTGCCCCGGCGTGGCACCCAGGAGGGGCCCGTGGGGCCCGAGGACTTCGGGCCGCGCAGCATTGACCCCACGCTCACTCGCCTCTTCGAGTGCATGAGCCTGGCCTACAGGTGAGCTGAAACGAGCAGGGACCCCAGACAGGCGCGAGGTGGCAAGCCCCCTAGCCCGAGCAATGAGGCACTACCCCCCCCCCATCCAGAGCCCGCTGCACCCTCGCTGGGTTGTCCCGCCTGTCCTAAGGTTCCCCCCTCCCTCTCGGACCCGCGGCCACCCCTCCCCATGCAGGGCACCTCGGCAGACTCCCCCAGAGCCCATCTCCCTTTCGCTGAGCTACCCCCATAACCTCGCGTGAGCCAGGACCCCCCCACACTCGGACACCTCGGTGCCTTCCGCTGGCACCTCGGGGAGAAACACGCCAGAGCGCCTCCTCCATGCCCCGCCCCAAACCCAGCACCCCTTCCCCCAGCCATCCCCATACCCCACACACGCACTGTGGTTCCCCTGCCACTACCCTAACCCCACCTCGAGATGCGCCCCTCTCCTTCCGCTTCAAGTGTCCCTCTCCCCCTGCTATCCTGGGGGCGCTGCCTCCTGACCCGACGAATCGGGACAGACCCGATGGAACCCCACCTCCCCAGGCCTTTCCCCTCTTGCCCTATACCCTGAACATAGCCACGGGACCTTTCCTACAGACTCGCATTTCGGGGATCTCTGTCCCTGAACACCTCGGGGAAAACCCGCTAGAACTTGCGTTTCCCTAAGTCCCCTAAATTTCCCCCCTAATCCTCACCATCCCCCTGCCCCGGGACAGGGTATGTCCACTATGAAAGGGGCTCCCAGGGGTTGTCTAACCCCCCCAACCCCCTCACCCCCGGCTCCTAGACAGACCCACCTGAGTCCCCTCCTCAGAATTCCCAGCCTCCTGCCCCATCTCCTCTCTGGACCCCTCATTGCTCTCCCGGAGATTTTAAGGGCCTCATGTGGTCCCCACAACCACCATCCTCTCCCCTCGGGAACCCGAGTCCTTAATCTTCCCCCTCCCCCTCCACTCTCACTGTAAAGTGGCACCAACCTTGGTTCCTCCAGGCTCATCCTCACCCGAAAACCCCTCACCCCCATCCTAGTATGTGGAAGGGACTTCCTCTGCTCCCAGAATGCCCTAAGATCCTCACTCCACAGAAGACCTCCCCCGATTCACGATTTCACCTCCTGGGAACTGGGGGAGTAGGGGTTCCTTTGGCCTAGATGGAGCTGGTGGTAGGGCTTCGAGGCCCCATTTCTTCTTCCTGCCAGCGCTACCCCCAGTACGTCTGTCCCAGCAGGGGGGCGCTGCAGCCCGCTTGGGTTTCTCAGTCTGGGCCAGGCCAAGGTCTGGAGGGAGGGCTTAGCTGGCCAGTAGGGAGGCTTGGTGTCCCTGGACATATCGTCTCTCCACTGCTTCTGAGCTTGGAGCAGAGGGGTTCCAATCTAGGGCCTCAAAGAGAGCTTTTTGGGGGGGGCTGACTGAAAAAGGATGAGAACATGCAAAATGTGGAAGCTCCAAGATGTACTCCATGGGGTGAATAGGAACCCCTTTCCCTGGCCCCCTCCTGGCCAAGTGCCCTGGATGTTCCAGAGCAAAGTTCCCAGAGCAAAGAACAGAACGACGCAGGGATTGGGATAAATTATCAACTGGGAATAGGAGAGGAGAAAGGGGGATAGGCTGACCTTGATCCTCTCTCCATGCAAATATCTCTTTGCCTCCCTCCCCCCCTTCTGAGAAATGCTGGCGTCCACTGCCTGCCCTTCCCCCTGCCCTCAAACTCCCAGGGGTCCTGGCAGGGGGAGGACAGTTACCTCCCTTTGGTTGCAGGAGGGAACATGGCAAGGGGGCGGTGGGGTGGCTCTTTCTTGATGAGCCGGGGGATTGGAGCCCTTGTTCCAGAAGCTGGGACTCTATTGGCCAGGCAAGCAGTGGGTAACCTTGGCCCACATGAGTTGGCATGATGCCCAGGTCATGTTGCAACCCGATCGGCTGGGTGGCCAGGACCAATGTGGAAAGTTCAAATTCCCACCTCAGGTCTCCTCCTCCCAGATCACAGGACTTAATCTAGGGCATCTCAGGTCCTGAGTGTAGCCTCACCCTAAAAGGTGTAAGGGTCCTTCTTGTCCCTTAACCATCACCCCCCAAAAAGGGCTCAGGCTTGTGGGAGGAATGCCAGTCCTGTCTCCAAGAGGTTAGATCATAAGGAGAGGCTTTCAGACACTGGGGCCACTGCTCCTGGGTCCTCCCAAGAGAAAATCCTGAGGGCAGGGTGCATTCCACAAACACTCAGCCAGGTTCCCCTCAGTCCCTATGATTCAGGGCCAAAGTTGTTGTCCAGAGGCTGTGGGGGATGAGTTTCTTTGAGTCCTTCAGGTGGCCTCAGAGCTGTTCCTCCTTCCTTTCCTCCCCTGATGTCCTGTCCTGCCTTCAGATTTGAGGACAGGTGGACAGTGGGCCAAGCCTGGGGGATGGGTCTCACTCTGGGACTGACCACTAAGAGCCCTGTCCTTCCCCCAAAGAGATTTCCCCTTTACGAGCCAGCTCCCTCAAATGGCTTCAGCCCCTCTCCTTCCCCTCCCCCGTGGTAACACATGTGCTCTAAAAATAGTCCAAGCTGCCCAGAGAGGCAGTGTCACAAGAACCCAGGAGTCCTGTCTTCTAATGTTGAGCTGGCCTCCTGCAAGGGTGGAAGTGCGCAGATTCCAGACCCCAGATAATCACTGTTCCCGGGGGGGATATGAGCTCTGGGGGGGTCCCCCCAACCTGGTAGGCTGGCAAGCCTAGGAGCAAGGCATGGGATGGACCTCTTAAACCTGGGCCCACCCTCTGTCAGCAGTTGGGAGCGTAATCCATAACCAAACATATGTGTTCGTGTATTGGAGTGTGTGAGGGCTAGAAGGAAGAATTGGCTAATTCTAGGTGTGAGAACATTGAAAATGGCACTGAGTGACTTAGTTGGAGGAATACCTGGCATAGGAAGTTCAGTGCTGGGTTTGGAGTCAGGACTGAATTTACTAGCTGTGTGACCCAGGGCAAGTCCCTTGACTGATCTTGGCCTCAGTTTCCACATCTATAAAATGGGGATAATTACAGCTTTCACAAAGTTGTTGTAAGTATCAAATAAGGTCATATTTTAAGTGTTTTGCAAACTTGGAAGTTTTATATAAATAATATTATCTATTGGTATTCCTTCTCCCTAGCCTAAGATGGGGAGGGAGGTGCTAGGAAGCTGGAAGTGATAAGTGCCAAAAATGCCAGCGTAGTACTGGGGGTTGAGAACGGGGAATAGATCCAGTGAGCGCTATGCTGGAGAGGCTCAGGAATCAGCACAGGCTGGATAATGGCAGTTTCCTGGAGGAAGAATTTGAAACCCAGAGAAGCAGAAGCATTTGAATGGTGCTGCAGAGTTTTCAGAGGGGCCTTCCATATGGTTTCATCCGAGCCTGGGATGGAGAGACTGCAGGATAGGGACTGGCCCTGTGATTTCATTGCTATAGAGAACTCCCAGGTGAGGAAGCTTCCCCTACCAATGTCTGCCAGCACCTCCTCTGCAACTTGTAGTCTGAGAAAGTTGCCTGCAGGTTGATTGACTTGCTAGGGTCCTTATGTGGCCATTATGTGTCAGAGGCAAGGCTTGAACCCAGGTCTTCTCAAGCCCACTTCTTTTGGGGCATTTTTGTTTGTTTTTTGCTTTTTGGTGAGGCAATTGAGGTTAAGTGACTTGCCCAGGGTCACACAGCTAGTAAGTGTCATGTGTCTCAGAGCCCGGATTTGAACTCAGGTCCCCCTTACTCCAAGGCTGGAGCTCTATCTCCTGAGCCACCTAGCTGCCCCTCAAGCCCACTTCTTCATCCATTCACCACTGCTGCCTCTTTACAGGTGTTATCTCCATTTTATAGATAACAAACAGGCTGGGGGGGGTGGTTATGAATTGCCTAAGGTTACACAGTTATTACAGTGTCAAGTATTACCCCATTTTATGGATGAGAAAACAGGCTCAGAGAGTATAATTGTTAATTGCACGTGGTCACACAACTGGTAAAGTGAAGGGAGTACCTCTTCCAGACTCCAAGTCCAGGATTATATTAAGCTGTGCTTGGCAATACCCTAACTGCCCCTGGAGAGACTGCCCTCTGGGGAAGAAAATAGCAAAGATGCTGCTCTACCCAGAGGAAGATGGGCAGGATGATGAGGGGGGCTGGAACTGAGAGTGTTTAGCCTAGGAAAGAGTAGACCAGGGGCGATGTTTGAGAAGAGCTATCAAATGGAGAAGGCAGTCATTCATTCAGGAAATGTTTATTAAATGTGTGCCATGTTCGGAGTATTTTCTGTGGGAAGGGTTATAAGTGCTTGGTGTGTTCAGATAATCTTCTGTAGGAACCTACAGAGTTTAGAAAAGACAAAGACTTGGTCTGTGCCCTCATGGAGCTTAACATCTAGTAGGTAGAGAAGACACAGTCAAAAAGAATTCTAAACTGCAATGGTACATATGCCCATCGGAGCTGTGCAAAATCAACTTCCAGGTGCAATCGAAGGGGAAGGTCATTATGGACCAGAGATATCAGGGAGGCAACATGGAGAAGGTAGCTTTGGAGTTAGGTTGGAAAGGCTGGGAAGGAATTGAACAGGATTAGAAGGGCATTGCAGAAATAGAGAGTGGCAGGAGGGAAGGGCATGCTGGGAGACAGAAGAGGTCAGCTCAGCTGATGCATCATGGAGACATGGCATGGGCATGGAGACTGGGCAACTGGCTAAGAGCTAGAGTCAGTCTCTTCTGTGCCTGGGGGCAGAATTAGGACCAAGAGTAGAAGCTACAGGGAGGAAGATTTAACCTCACTGTGAGGAAGAGCTTTCTGACAATCAGAACTATCCCAGAACTGGGCAGACGGGGCATCTTTGATACTGTGAGCTCTCTGGTCACTAGAAGTGTTCAGGCAGACGTTGGATGTCCGTCTGGCAGGGATGCCTTAAAAAAGACTCCCGCCCTGGCTGGGAGAATCCACCAATCAGTCAACAAGCATTTTTTAAGTATCTACTATGTGCCTGGCACTGTGCCAGGGATCGGGAAGACAAAGACAAATGAAA